AGCCTCTGTCTTCTGGTGCAGAACCCTTGAATCGACGCCAGAGAGCCATGAGTCCAACAACCAGCCAGCAACCCATCTCGCCAATAAACATCTGGGCGGTTTGGAGGACCGGCTGGTTGAAGAAAGCGCGCTTCCTTGGATTGCCATCGGGGCCACAGTTTCGAACACATTGGTTGTCCTATGGAGAGGTGAGTCAGTTACAGCTCTGCTAACATGGCGGAACAGCGGATGCGCATGTCGTCATACCTGATACTTGGTCAACAAGGTGTTGCAAACACCTGTGAGCAGCATCATGGCTACAAGAAAAGGGATGAGACTTCTAGACGCCATATTGAAGAGTTGGTCGATTACCGTCGACCAAACTTCAGTGGTTGATGTTATTCAAAGAGTGAATGTGGAAGATGGGGGATGAGACGGCTGAGAAGGTCAGCCAGAACTGATAAGAGTCAGGTCTGGAACAAAGAGCTGATAAGCTCCAACCTAATTGAAGGCGGAGTAGAGGTACGTAACACAGATGTAAATGCAGGGCTCAGACACTTGACCCGAATGTGGAGTCGTCGCCTCACTAAATGCATGCACTACCTGCATTAGCCGTTAGATCTCCTCTTGGGAGTGCTACGCGTTACGCGTTACCTCGAGGTTCATGCTCTGAGCCGAGCCGATGTACCTTTTGATTTTTGGTGGAGAGCCGGGGTTAGTTTATGCGGGTCACAGCGAGACAAGCGAGATCCCAGCCACCAGACTTCTTGGGGGGTGACATGTGCATAATTATTGCCGTATCATAATTCACAAAGCTGTTATCGGCTTTTCATTCCCTGCTCAGATCGATTATGATCAACTCCAGCCTCCCATCTATATTTGTTAGACCTTTTGTGTCCAATTTCGACAAGGAACACGAGTTCGAGTGTCTCAGCGCTGGGTCAAATGATGGTCATCTCTGGAAGATCATGGTCAGCGCTTCCGGTCACCTGCCGAGACGGCACACAAGTCACTTGATCAATGTCACGTTCAGAGATAGATCCAACATGGTCTAGTGCAAAGTGGATTATGTACTGTGAACTATGCGTTGGTGGATGGCTCTTGAACAGCAAGTGAATAACTTCTCAACCTTAGTGCCATTGATAATTTGAGATAGAGAACAAACTTCCTTTATTGTCATCCAACGACACATTTTAATGAATACTTCTTTGTCAGGAATAGCCAAACTGATCATAAGTTTTATTTCTTTTGGTAAATCTTAGTGTGGTAATGTTCATTCACCGATCACGAGTAGTAGTTGAAACACTTATGGCCGTTACTTGTTTTAGTGCTACTGAGTGCTGGTCCTCAAAAGGACAGAAAAGGAGCGTAGATACACCTCGATCTAAAGTACAATACATGAAATTGATCTCAAAATTGAGCCTTGCTTCGCAAGATGTCCAAAGATGGACTGGAAACATCCGAATCCCTGAAAACTCTCAGAGTTCAGAAATGAGAGCCAGTGCTGTTGCTGTTGCTCATGGTCTTGGGGACCCTCATGGTTGGGAATTATGGACTGGACTAGCCAGGAAATGCCAAAAACTCCCAAACACCTCATATCCGCTGTTAAGCTTACCACGTGAACGCCTCCTCGATGAAATCGATGTGAGATCGATCCTGGCGGTTTCGGACAGCCAGGCGAACCTCGTCACTGAGGGCACCAGGGCCACAAACAGTCACAGCCATGGCACCAACCTGGTGCTCTTGCTCCATGCCTAGGAGAGTGTTGATGTTGGGTCGTCCGGGGAACATCTGAACAGTCGACGAGGGGCTGTGAATTTCCTTGGTCGAGCGAGGCTGGCTGACAAAGAGCATGATTCGGAGAACGTCCCTTCTCTTGTCCATGCCCAGGATCTCAGTCATCCAGGGGCGGATCCACTCCAGATGCTCAGGAGTCTGAATGGTCCAGACTAACAAGATCCTTCGAGTTGCCACAGTACCCTCAGAGTAACCCTCAACAAGATGCTTGATATAGGGAACGGGGTGAGTGATGCCGACACCTCCAGCGAAGAGAACCACGGTACCGTACGAGTCGAAAGAGTGGTGTCCACCATAGGGGCCCTCGGCGAAGCAGCTTGTCTCGAAACGACCTCCGGGGGCAGCGACTGCCTTCTTGTAGAGGCTGTCAGTCATACCGGTCCTGCCTCGGATGATGAAAGAAACTCGCTGTTGTTGCATGGCCAAAAGATCTTGGTTGGTGGTGGCTAATCGGTCGCTCTTGACATCCTCGACGTCATCGTACCAGGCGACGGAGAAGGGGTGAGATTGCCAGTAGCTGATGGCTGGCATGTAGAGATAGGCGTGCTGTCCAGGGGCGGCGTTCCAGGGGCGAGCCAGAGTCATGGTCAATCGAACAGCATTTCCAGGGAGAGCTTCGACAATAGTTCGGGAGCGCGAACCTCCAACGTGGGAGCGAATGACACGCCAGATACGATAGGTTCGGTCGAAACTCCAGAGAGCGATCACACCATAAACGTAGCAGAGCCACTTGAACAGACCAGGGGACGCTGACAAGTGATAGTACAATCCCACAACGGCGGCGGTGGCAGCGAGGATGTGGAGAGCCTTGAAGATCTCGTAAAAGGCATGGCGAAGAGGACTGGAGGCCTGGATACCGAGGAAGACAAAGGAGCAAGTGGCCTAGAAGGTGTAAGTAAAATTTCATTCACATGATAGACGTTAAGAAATGTCACTGAAGTGACTTACAATAAAGCCGGGAAGAATAAAGTTGCCCGCGGGAGGGGTGAACACCCAACCGTTCTTACCATAGTGGGCAAGGGTATGAGCGAGAGCCTCAAGAATGACAATACGGCCAAACCAACGGTGGATCAGGTTGTAGGTGTCAAAGGAGATGTTCAAGAGAGGGATGAGAGGGTTGTTGCGTCCAGCCAGAAGGAAGAGAGGGACCTGAAATGGAAATAAGGTTAGTGGCATGTACTAGTGAAATTCGGAACAACCTAAGCCAAGCACTATAGAGTGCTTTGGCTTGGCGATCCTTAATATGCAATTCAATTCATACCATGTTGACAGTTGAGAGGACACCAGTGCGGTTGCGAATGACACCGCAGGCGGTGGCCATATCAGCGGAATAATCGATGTCGATAACACACCAGACGACATTGGAAACGAAGTAGGACACGAGGAAAAGTAGTTGGAAACGGGTGGGTAGAGTTCCAACGTTGATGGCCTTGCTTAGCTGGATTTCGCGGTTGTGGCGCTTGCTGAAGACGGGAGCGTAAAGAAGGTGGCGCTTCAGGGCAGCGAACTTCTGGTTAGGGATAGCGAAGTAGCGCTGCTTGTCGTTGTTTAGGCAAGAAACATGTCGAGTGAGTCGGATAATTCGTTCGCAGACCTTCCAGACGATAACAGCAGCAGAGACAGCACCACAGACGATCATGAGGTACTTGGAGAGGTTTCCGTTGGTGGCTTCGGCGATTTCTTTAGCGAGTTGTTGCTCTGGTGTGAGCTCGTAACCGCCTCGCGGCAGCAGTGAGTTTCCGGCACTCATTGCGACTGAAGAAAGAAGGGAAAGACTGAGAACAAAAAAAAAAAAAAAACAATAAGATCGAGGTGTCGAAGTGAAAAATTTAGAAAAGAAAAACCTCCCCTGGAGGAATCGAGTCGAATGGTCGAAGAAGCGGCGGCGAAGAGAAAAAGAAGAGAGAAGGAGAGAGAGGGCGCTGTCGACAGTGATGGGGCCAAGGGACCGTAATGTAGCCGCAGCAACAACAACACCAACCACAGCAGACAGTGAACAGATGAATGAATGAGAGAGTGTGTGTCTGAATGGAAACCAGCTCCGAAACAAACAATTCCTACGCCGTCTTTAGGAATGAACTGAAGACGTCAAGGTTGACGAAACAAGACAAGGCAAGGAAGAGTTTTGAAAAAACGATTGCGGAGGCCAAGGGAGGGATACTATTAAGAACGAGCAGGGGGTATTTTGCGAGATAAGTTGGGTCAATAGTAAATTCCCCAGCAATCATGGCTCAAGCAGATCATATTCAAGGCCGCGTGTAGGCTTGTCGTAGAAACAGTGGCCATGCAGTGTCCCTTGCTTTCTCATTTGCAGCCCAGCCCAGTCCATCAGCTCTATCCCGCTTCCTATCCCTGAGTATCCCACTGAGGGGCCCATCTGCCAGTGACCAGCTGCTCTACGACAGTGAGCGAGTTACAGCTGGGGCCAGCTGCGAGGCCACTGGTCTAGCCTCTAGTCTCAGGGGCATCTAGTTTCAAGATATTCATCTACGCATTCGAGATTCCCTGATCTGACCTTGTCATTGGGCGAGCCTCCTCAATCTAGGAAACCCCCCGGCGGCTCTACTAGCGAACTGAGGTGAACTGACCCAGTCAGCGTCTGCGTTGCAATTGCGCGGGACACGATGCATTGAACAGGGGAGATGACTGTGGCGCTGGCTCCGAGTGGCGGAAGGACATCTAATATCCTAGCACCGCGGGGCGCAACTGGGATTCTGAAACAAGGGCTTTCCCAGCTTCTGGGTAATCAGTTTCTTGGCCGTTCGAGGGTGTCTAAGGTAGGGGATTATGATCTTATTAAAACTTCAATGCCCCGCTAATTTTAAACTCTCTTTTAGTATTTTTACGATAAATACTTTAATCTTGGAAGTCTTTTATTTCTCTTATACCGGAGAATACTTCATTTGTAGCCCTCACAAGGATGTACGTGGTCCCATTCCAACTGAACACGACTCAGCGGCAATGCAACCATCAAGTAAAAACTATGGACCATTTGCGGATCAAGTCCTCAGAGATTGTTCCCAGCCGAACCCAGCCTGACCCAGCAATGACATCGAATGGCGGTTTCAAGTGCCTCTAGCCCCACCATGACCGATGTTATCGTAACCGTTTCCGCGGCTCCTGAGAGGCGGAGGATTATTCTCCAGTTAAAGCCTGAGACGAGCACTGAGACGAATTCTTTACATGTACATATATGATCCTGGCCACCAACACCAACACCAAGAAAACAAAAAAAAACAAAAATCAAGGCGTAAATTGAAACTCTAATAGAATGATTGCGTATCCGTACATCCTAGTATGATCTCTCCCAAGCTTAAAGTATGCTGAGTTCGTCATCCATATCGTCCTCTCCCGGCTCTGCCAATGATGTTCCCATAGCGACTCTATTAACCCTGTTTTCCTGCCAGGTCCTTGCAATATCCAAGCGCTTGACTCTCTTGACGGTCTTGATCTTTCCGCTACTGCTGCTGTCACTGCCGTTACCATGTGTTCGTCCCAATGTTTTCCTGGGGCTGTAGTCCACCATCTGTGCACACTCGCCAAGCTCATCTCCGCTGTCTTGCTCTTCGTCAATATCCGTAATGCTGGTTGCGCTCGTATCATTCTCATCCTCCCTGTCGCTGTCGTCCGTATCATCATGATTGCCAGCATCCTTGTCACTTCCCACCGAGCTATCTTCGTCGTTTCTGCGCCTGTGATTGCAGCCCGTCTTCCCACTCAGGCCTGTCGTCCGGCCTCGACTATCTGGTCGACGATCTGTGCCTGTTCTGTAGCTCGTTCCGTCTCGACTTTGGTGTTGCTGTCTCAGCTCGCTTCCTCGTTCCTTACCAGGGCTGGGGAGAACCCATTCGCCAATCCCTTCCTCCCACTTCCAGCCCGAAAACATCGTGCTTGTTTCGAGGGTTCCCTTGCCAGCGGTGGGAAATCTTTCAGCAAAAGCAACATCTCGGAGGTCCTTCGTTTTCTGTGCCAAAACAAACGCCCCGTCGGACACCAGACATTCTTGAAACCAATCAGGAAGCCCCAGTTCATTTAAAGATGTACGAATCTCAGACAAGACGTCGTGGCAAGCCAAACCACATGCTTGTCCCCGATATTGTGCAACAGAGCAGGCCAGCAAAAGAGTTTGGCGATACTGAGGTTGAGTTGGGGAACCGTTTCTTGCTGTCAACGGTTTCACACAGTCGTAAATCGCCAGATTCCTCGCTGATAAACTGCCCACTTTCTCGTCGATCAAACTCGTGGCCAAGAATCGGGCTAAAACGAGTGTCAAAAATCCGCTGCTTCGAAACGCCCCACGACGAGTTCGTTGCTGTGTCACGCACATTTCGAGTGTGAAGAGCAGTCGTCGGATGGCGTGGGCTTTCCAAGGCTCTTTATCGCTCATCTCAATACCCAATGTCCATATCGCTGCTGCCATTGCTGCCAGGACACTAATCAGTGTCTGATCTTCTGTAGGTTGTTCTGTCTCCTTTGTTTTGCCATTGTCCAGCAGAAGCTGGTCCAGAGCTGTACACATGAACTCGACGACCGAGGGCACAGATTTTCTGGAATGTAGCAGGATTTCAATTCCTCGCATCCATACTGACTGAAACGCTCGTGATGTCAGCCAGGTCAGAGACAACTTCTTGCTGTTGATAAGGTTCGAGAGGCAATCCCATGATGGGCCGATTATTCCCCGACCTTGTAAGCTTCTTACTATAGTTCCTAGAGGCTGCACCGTACTGCTCTCGATCAAGGTGCTTGATGTACCACGAGGTGCTGCCAAAGGAAGTCTCAGGCTTGAGACAAGTCTCGCGGCTTCTGCATTACAGTCGAGACTGAGACAAAGATCGGCCAACAGCCGCACAAACGGAGGTTCGAAGAGACCTTCTGTCACGGCTGTTGCCAACAGACATAGAGCATGCGCACGGACAACAATCCTGAAGGACTTCCAACCCAGACTTGTAGTGCCGAACCCCTCGAGTTGATCGTAGAGTTCTGCCGATGCTTTAGACGATTGCCACTTGAAAGTTTTCCCTTCCTTTGCCGCAGTCTGACGATCCCATTCTTCTATCACGGCTATCGCATCTGGTATCCTGCGAAGACACATCCCTAGTAACGACTTCGGGTGTGCTGTTTGGGAGAGAGATTCGGTTGAGGTCAGCAAGCCATGCAGCCAGCTGAAAATGGCATCATATATGCGGTATTCACTATCCGAGACAATCCGGCGAAGTGATTGTAATTCTGTAACTAGCGATTTTGAATCTGTACTTATCGGCTTTGAACTCGTGGGTGAAGTCTCAGGGGCCAAATCGTCGCATCTGAACTTGCGCATGACCGGCGTCGTGAAACCGAGTCGTCCAGCTCCTGGCGGACTACGTTGAATCTTCATGCTGCCGAGAGTGCGAAATGCGCGCGGCGGTGTCGACAAAGACGAAGTGTTTGGTTTTGACTGAGATGTTACTATTCGGCGTCCTCCGTATGTGTGCCGCGCTCGCTTTGACGATTTCGTTGGTTCATTCTCGGTATTCGTACGTTTCGCCCGGGCTGTTGTTGTAGCTGGTTGCCGAGCCTCATTAACCAGTTTTCTTAAAGAAAGTAAACGACACTGGAGCTGTCGTAGCAGGCGCTGGCATCTTGCTGCCGTCCAAGGCTGTACATCTTGTTGATTGTTGTTGCGATCTCCCTTCATTAAACGATGGGCTGACGGGGATGGGAGATCAGCCATGATAGATATATTCAGGTGATACCGAAGTGGCTGAATCAATATTAGAGTATCAGTAAAGCAACAAGAAACATGTTACATGCCCAAGAGAGCCTTGGTTGTCGAATCATTAAGCAAAAGGAATACCTAAAGATAGTCAAAGACAAAGACAAAGAAGATGTTGTGTTGTTGGTAGGGAGCATAAAGAGATCGGCCAATATTTACATTCATCTACTTTTGGTCTAGCGTTGCCGTCAATCCCTCTGGGGGTCGCGACCGGCTTCGGGGCCCTAAGATTCTCTACTGGGGCTATACCTTGTTTAACCGTAGAAGCCACCGGAGGACTGAAGTACCGTCACTGTCGCGTGTTCAGCACCGGATACTCCCAGTGTCCGGATCCAATGCAATGCCGGGCCATTGCCGTCGCACCCACCACAACCTAAGTTAACCGTCCAATTTTTTTCTTCGTCCCCTCCGCTCCGTCACTACTTTACTCCCACCTTCTTTCGACGAACGTCGTTCAATTGATTGTCTTCCCCTTCCAGTGCATATCCCATGCCTGGTTTCCTCCCTCATTACCTATTCTTCTTTTGCTAAACACTCCATCTTGTCAATATGGCTGAGGAAACCACTCCTCCCGCTCAGGCGCCTGGTACGTATAATTTTTGTGCGAAGCTAGACCGCCCTTGTCGAATGCTCGCTTGTAAAGTCCGGGGTCTCAACAGCCTCGACTCGGTCATTGATGGAGCTATTATATAGCTTTTGCTTTGGCTGTACTGGTTTTTCTTGTTCTTGGTATTAAATTTACTATACTAAACCGAGCTAATACGTCTCACAGCCGCTGCGTCCGAGGAGCCCGAGACCAACATGGAGGCCGAAGCTCAAGACGTTGACGCTGGCGCTGAAGGTAGCTAAAATTATCCCTCCGATTAGCGATATAAACGACATGGATATCTGACGGTTCAAAGCGTTAATAAACCTTACCATCGTCTTGCCTGACGCCAATGCTAGCAAGATGCAGATTATGGTCCGTCATTGACTTAAACCGAGCCCCTCCAAAACCTCAAGCTCACACAAAATGTTCAGGTTTCTTCTCAAGAACAGGTTCATGAGATTCGACAGTCGATCATTGACCTTCCCTCCGCATTCCAATACACTTGCTTCCACCTCGAGTTTAACGGCGAGAAGATCAACGACTTCATTCCCCTCTCTGAAATTCCTGACCTTGGCACCACTCCCGAATTCCACGTTGTTGAAGACCCATATACCGAGAAGGAAGCTCGCATCCATTTTGTTCGCATTCGAGAGCTTATCGGTGCCTCTGGAGACCGATGCGACACTGCCCAGGGCCTACTTCCAGGACTGTCTCTCTTCGAAACTGTCGCCACAGAGGCTGTCAGCAACAACGAGTCGCCCGAGGAGTCGCCAATTCAGAACTACGATTTCCAGGCTGTGCCCTCTCTTACCGAGCTGGTCCCTCCCCCCTCTGAGCCCGCTCCTAAGACAGTGAAGCAGATCTCCTTGTCTTCCTGGAATCCTCCCCCTCCTCACCTCCGCCAGCGCGGCCACTTGCTCTACTTGGTTGTCTCCACCAACGAAGGCGAGCAATATCAGATCACCTCTCACGTTTCGGGCTTCTTCGTCAATAAGTCATCTAACGCCAAATTCGATCCTTTTCCTCGCCCGGCACCCAAGGGACAGTCTGCTCACTCTTTGCTGAGCCTGATCGAGCTTGTCTCTGCCTCATTCGCCGAGTCCTTCACGAAACTCCAGGACTACAACAACCAACGCGACCCCCTCGCCACTTTCCAAATCACCAACGCCATTCCTGCTGCTCCTTGGGTGGTTCCCTCTCCTAACTCAACACTTTGCACACATCTTCCTGATCCGGCACGATCTCAGGAGACCTATCTTCTTAATGGTGTCGAGAACACTGACACTCTGCGAGACTGGAATGAAGAGTTCCAATCAGCTAAGGAACTGCCTCGTGAGACTGTTCAGGATCGTGTTTTCCGAGAACGACTCATTTCTAAGCTCTTTGCCGATTACAATGAGGCTGCTACTCGGGGCGCTGTCATGGTCGCACGTGGCGATATTGCTCCTTTGAACCCCACAGAATGCAGAGATGCTCAGATCTTTGTCTATAACAACATCTTCTTCTCTTTCGGTGCTGACGGTGTTGGTACATTCACTTCTGAGGGCGGTGACGAGGCGGCTCGTGTCGCTACTGGCAAGGATGTTGCTGGTGTGAAGCTCGTCAACCAATTGGATATCGAGGGCCTCTTTACTCCTGCTACCGTGGTTGTTGACTACCTTGGAAAGCGAATTGTTGGTCAGAGCATTGTTCCCGGTATTTTCAAGCAGCGCGAACCTGGTGAGAACCAGATCGACTACGGTGCTGTTGACGGCAAGGACATCGTCGCCGCTGATGAGAGATTCGCTCCCGGCTTTGCTCAGCTGTCCAAGGCTCTGAAGGTCAAGAAGCATCCTGTTTGGGACAAGGATGGCAAGCGATTCGACTTGGAGGCCAGTGTGGAAACCAAGGGTCTATTGGGCACAGACGCCCGCAAGTATGTCTTGGATCTGTACCGTATCAGCCCCCTCGATATTGCTTGGTTGGATGAAGATGGTCTTCCTGAGGATGGCGATGCCTACCCTCACCGCATGACAGTCCTCCGACCGGAGCTTGTCGACTCGTTCTCACGATACAAGCTGAAGCAGTGGGTGGATAAAGAGGTTGCCCGTCGAGCGGAGCAAAAGAAGGAGAAGGAGGGTGAGGCCAAGGGTGAGGAGGATGAGGGCGAAAAGAAGACCACAGAGGGCGAGGGCGAGGGTGAAGCCTCTAAGGAGGATGATAACCAGCCTAACCTGTCGGACTTCAAGTTCGCTCTTAACCCTGACGCTTTCAGTGGCCAGGTTCCTCAGACTGATGAAGAAAAGGTCGAGTTCGCTGCTGACGAGGAAGAGGTTAGGGCGGCTGGAAAATATCTTCGCGAACAGGTTATCCCTGACCTGCTCAAGGATCTTTCCGAATCCGAGATCAGCTTCCCCATGGATGGCCAGTCGTTGAGCCGACTTCTACACAAGCGTGGTATCAACGTGAGATACCTGGGTAAGGTTGCTGAGCTCTCCAGTGATGGCCGACTCCGATGCTTGCGCGACATTTGCGTCCAAGATATGGTTGCCCGAGCCTTCAAGCATGTTTCTGCTGTCTACCTCCGACACCTACCAGTCCCTGCTGTTCCTGCTGCTGTTTCTCATCTCCTCAACTGTCTGCTTGGACACAGGTTCAATGAGAAGCCCGTTGCTGAGCTTGATCCTTCAATCCGCAGTCTCTACACTGATGCCGACTGGTCGTTCGAGAAGGTTACACCTGAGAGTCTGCGGGAGAACATTGAGGAGCAGATCCTCCAGCGATTCCGATATGAGCTAGATGAAGAGTGGCACAACCAGGTTCGCCCTGTGCAGCTCCTTCGTGAGGTGTCGTTGAAGATTGGTATTCAGCTTCTGGCCAAGGACTACAGTTTCACTGCTGAGGCTGCCGCTACCGCTACTGAGGCTGCCCCTGCAAAGGCCGAGAAGCCTGTTGCCAACGGTCAGACTAACGGAGAATCTGGTGGCAGCAAGAAGAAGAAGAAGAACAAGGCTCGTGAGGCTTCTCCCGCTGAGGCAGCTGCCCCGGCCAACTTGCATACTTTCAGCCCCGAAGACGTCATCAACCTGGTTCCTTTAATCAAGGACTCTTGCCCTCGCAGCGCCCTTGCTGAAGAGGCGCTCGAGGCTGGCCGTATCTCTCTTCTTCAAAACCAGAAGAAACTGGGCCAGGAGCTTCTGCTGGAGTCCCTTTCCCTGCACGAGCAGATCTACGGTATCTTGCATCCCGAGGTCGCTCGTGTCTACAACAGCCTATCCATGCTCTACTACCAGCTTGATGAGAAGGAGGCTGCTGTTGACCTTGCTCGTAAAGCTATTATCGTCGCTGAGAGAACTGTTGGTGTCGACTCAGCCGAGACTCTTCTTAACTACCTCAATCTGAGCCTGTTCCTCCACCAGATTGGTGACAGCAAGGGTGCTCTTGTGTACTCCAAACACGCTCTCAAGATGTGGAAGGTCATTTATGGTCCTGACCATCCTGATTCTATCACCACACTCAACAATGCTGCTGTGATGCTTCAGAACCTCAAGGCTTACCACGAGTCTCGACTCTGGTTCGAGGAGTCACTGCGCGTATGTGAGTCTGTTTTCGGCAAACAGTCGATCAACTCCGCCACCCTCCTCTTCCAGCTGGCTCAGGCTCTTGCTTTAGACCGCGACTCAAAGGGAGCTGTCACTCGCATGCGAGAGTCTTACAACGTTTTCCTTGCTGAACTTGGACCTGAGGACAAGAACACCAAGGAGGCCGAGAGCTGGTTGGAGCAGCTCACTCAGAATGCTGTCAACATTGCCAAGCATGCTAAGGATGTTGCTGCTCGAAGACTCCGAACCGGTGTTCGATTTACCACCAATCCCTCAAGTTTGGCGGCTTCCAATGCTACTGTTCCCGGCCGCACGGGACCTGGATCACAAGTTGACTCCCGCAGCATTGATGAGCTCATCAAGTTCATCGAGGGTGGTGAACATCAGCAGACCAAGAAGCGAACTGGCCGTGGAAACCCTAAGAGGCGAGGCCAGGCTGGAGCGCGATAGGCTGACAATTTAACGAAATTCTTTATGATGCTATTATGTGGTCGAGTTTTTTACTCACCGCTGTGTAAAAGTAGATGGTCAAACAAAAAGCATGGGAATTCCATTATGAATCATGTGCGAGCTGGGTGGCTTGGTCACGAAAAAAAAGGAGGCCCCTGCAAAGGTTGGGTTTGGTACGGTTGGCGGCACGGTGGCGCGATCACACGTATTTGCATCAAAAGGCGCGTTCTCAACATTTGTATATATCCAAGGCTCTGCTCTAGGCCATTGGCCAGATGATCTTCACTCTTATATAACATGTTTACACTTGGAGTTCTAGAGTCTGTCTGTCGAGCTAGAATTCCCCAGCGCGGGAAAGTCTATAACATCGAGCGAGTCGTTGAGCTCATCGTTCAGTCACGAAGATGTCAGTCAAGGAGAGATGCGTTTTTCGTTGGCGCGTTGCATTCATAACTGTCGTCAACATCCTTGGACGCCAACATGATGTACTCGAAAGTTAGTACAATACATGGCTCAGAGACTTGTCCCCTTTAAAACAGAAACGCCTGTGTAGAAAGGTAGCCTAAGTACGGCCTTGCAAGATAGACGCCCCTCCACCAACTGGCGCATGATACGCACCGATACTCTGGAATCCCCTGGACAATTATGTTAGCTCAGTCTCAAGTATATGATGGGGAAAACATACTTTGTTAGATCAAAGCCGTGCTCCTCTTCGGCCTCTGCCGGTTGAGCAATAGGCTGTGGACTTGACTTTTGCGGTCGAGAGGGACTGCTAAGAGGTGACTTATCTCCCCTCGGCGGACTGCTACTCTGCGGGGGGAGAACACCTCCAGCCTTAGTGGGACTAACATCGTAGCCACCAAGCGGTTTCAAGGGTGTGCTGCCTATATCTGCGTATTTCCAGAAAGGGGCCGGTGAGCTGGTGGGCATGTGTTGACTTGGTCTCTGTGCTGTACTTGGAGGGGCAAGCTTAGGGTGCATCCTGGGCGGTGCTGGGGTGACGAATGACCCCCCGTCCTCTTGGTAGGAAGATGTGAGCGTGGGTGATTGAGGATTGTACACCGAGAAAGATGAGTCTCTTGCTGGCGTCTTTCTAGGACGGGGCAAGGGGCTGCCATCAATCATCATGGTCGCGTTTCTACCAAAAGAACGATCAGGAGTTGACTGGGGAACTAGCAAAGAGGATCCAGGTGGCTGTGGTGATGCCGGGGGCGATGCTCTCCGTCTGCGAGCTGAGGGAGGTTCTCTCGAGGCCATATCTCTTGGGCCATGCGTGATATACGCCAGTTGGTTTGGGGATGAGGGGGCAGATGAACCACGATGACCGCCTCGACCAACCCGATAGGCGTTTCTTATCATCTCCTCTCTTGCTTCTGGGACAATTTGCCACTTCATACCCTTACCAGGCTCGTCGGTTAATCTGGCAACCTTGTCAAATGATTTGTTAAGTGAAAGGTTATGACGAATTGAGTTCTATAAAGTGTGAGTGAGTATGCCGCCCAGCAACGTAACCGCCACGAGAACTTACCTGCCAACCAGCAGCCTGTTGATGACGATAGTAGGCGTATGTGTTCATGATGTAGGTATAGATTCCGTTCAGATTCAGTTTACCGTCAGGCGCGTTCAAGATGGCTTGGGTAATCATTTGAGCATAGCTATATTGAGGCTTGATATGCTGGTTCTCATCTTGGCTCAGATCTACACCATTCGCACCAACCATGACGGCCGGCGTGCTCGCAGCCGGTGATTTGGCAGTACTCTGGGCCGAGGGCGGCGTGCCCGGGCGTTTGTATTCCGGAGGCGCCGGTGCAATGAGGGGTTGTCGACGTGAAGTCCGAGATTGTGGTGTATGGACACTGACTCCAGCACGTTGCAAATAGATAGGATGCACAGTCAGTGGAGTTATCTCGGATGGAAGCACGAACATCATCTCGACATTTCCAATCTCGATGACTTCGCCGCTTGTGAGAGGATGAGCCTGTCCGGCCTTAACGGGCTGGCTGTCCACCTTAGCACCGTTACGGCCTTTGACATGCAGAAACCACTTCTCGTCCTTGGAATCGAATGAGATGGTAGCATGCTCTCGCGATACCATCTTGCTAGGGCCTAGGTCGATGTGGACGTAGGACTCGTCTTCGTCGGAGCCCACGGTCTGAGAGTTATGTGACGTCTCGGGAGCTCGGCCTATGTTGACGTTGAGCTTGGTGACATAAAAGGTCCAGTCCTGAGCAGCCACTTTGGCGTAGGCTTTTACACCATCGCCCTTGGCCTCGTGTATGACATTTGCGTGATCCTTGCTGGCCTGGACTTCTTGACTTCTGAGATGTTGTGTGATTTGCGATACCAGTTGATCATCGTTGGGCGCGGGGGGGTCTTCATCCTCTTGGACCTACTCGGGAAGATCAATGTCAGCGGCCGCGGGTAATGGAACGGTAGACAAGATAACGGACCTTCTTACGACGCTTGGCTGGACGACTGGGAGAGGAATCTTCGACGTCGCCTGGTGATGTATCCGTGTTGGACGTCGCGGCTTTACGCGGTTCGCGACGAGCCCTAGAGGCTCTCTTTACCGACGGTGGCATGGCGGGCAAGCAGCTGTGCACTACACTGTAACGACGAAACGATGATGGCAAGGTCGAGATTTGGACACGGGCTATGGTCGTTCGTTATCTTGGGGTCCCAGGCCGTGTTTTGGTGCCCTTGAGGATTGGCGCGGGAATACGAAATAATCAGGTCAAGTAAAGTCGTGTCGTCAATCAATGAATGTATCGTTCTACTAGTGCAGCAAATAAATGCCCTGCCCTTTAAAGTTGGTACCGCGTTCGCGTTAGGATTGACCTAGTGTCGTAAAGTGGCAGGGCCATGACAGGGCTGCGCTGCGCTGCACTGGGCTGAGGGCTGGGATGTGGGTGTGGGTGTGGGTGTGGTGTACCGATTCGTGCATATTCGAGCCCCGTTGAGTGAATCAGAGGCGGCAGAATCAGCAGACAAGGGGGTTGACAGTGCTGTAAGGGGGCATCAGTGATCACTAGCGTGTGTGACCGTCATTGGGAAACAAGGCGAAAAATGCCATGAACATTGAAAGAGGAAGAGAAGTTGGGATGAGATCTTTTTTTTTTTTTTTTTTAATGATACTTTAAAAGATAGAGCATCATTAATTGACTACTTATACGTATCTATATCTTAATCATCATTTTCTTATGTAGCAGAGTTTGGTGGCTTAACTTCCATCTCATACCTGTAGACAAGAATTCCCGTTACTTGCCGTACCCCCCTGGTCTAGCATCCAATGTCTTGTCTTGCGTGCGTCTCAGGGGAAGGGCTCTATCCTGATAAGTGAATATCGTGTGGTGTTTGTTCGTGAAAATGTGATGACAATGCAATATGATAACTGCACAAGCGTAACCTCGAGTAAGCCCAGCCTCGCCTCGCCCTCCACTGGCTGACTGAATGTCTCTCATTGACTGATATATAAATAATTCGATTCTGATTGTGTTTAGCGCTAGGGTACGGATATTGCCAACCATGAATCAATAACAGGTTTTCCTTGCAGCTGTCACTTTATCTGTTTCTGAGTGGACAACTTCTGCCACCTATTCAAGCACTCTTAACGCGTGAACAACGTGATTGAATGCTTCAGCCACAATTAATAACAAATTGCCCATTTAATTCAGCTCAAATCCACTGATACAAGCCCGTATAAGAACCTACCCCCAGGTTTAGACTGCCTCAGCAGTCAGGGTCCACTATTTCAATTACTTACACCCAATCCAGCTTCTGGGCCACCACCGCGTTTGTGCAGCCTCGCGGCGCCTCGTTAGTAGTCAGCCAAAAGTCACACTCTCCTTCATTACCAAGTAAAAAAAAAACTTGGTCTCTTCATCACCCAGCGAATTCACTCGATATCCTTTACGGTCCATCCCTTACCTCTCCGATCCAGCCATTCCCAATATTCGTCTCCATACCAGACACAGAGCACCCTCTTGTCTTGTCTTGTCCTGTCCTGTCCTGTGCCCGGCCTCTCCCTTGCGCTGCTCCCACTGCCCTTGGAGAGGCTTGAAAACCAGCGCATTCTTTGAACAAACAACCGCTTGTTGATTCGGCTATCATCCCGTCGCATTGGGATTTGCGATCCTCCCTTCCGCCCCGGCCTCGGGTTGGTTGTTTTTCAACCACTGTCGTTTAGCTTTTCCCCATTCCGACGTTTGGATACAGTGGAGCTATGGCATCTGAACAGGCTTACGGCGTGACGCCTCCCATTTCCGTGCAACTCCCAACGGAAGCCGAACTGCGACAATCGGACGCTCTTCTGGAAGAACTGAAGCGTCAAAAGACCTTCGAGAGTCCTGCAGAGACAGCCAAGAGGTAGAAGCCAATAAATCTTCCACACGTGAGCGTATCAAGAACTGACACACTTGTTCTAGAGAAGAGGTCTTGGCCTCGATCCAAACCATTTGCGATGCGTTCGTCCGTCGAGTCGCCCAGGAGAAAGAACCCAAGAACGAGGTCCTCATACGAAATGCGAGAGGCAAAGTCTTCACCTACGGCAGTTATCGCCTCGGCGTCTACGGCCCCGGCTCTGATATCGACACTCTCATCGTCGCGCCGAAATACGTGACCCGCGAGGACTACTTCAAGTTCTTCCCAGATCTGCTTCTCTCGATGGCTCCTAAAGATGCCATCACTGACATGGCTGTCGTGACTGATGCTTTCGTACCCATCATCAAATTTGAGTACTCTGGCATAAGCATTGATTTGATCTTTTCTAGGGTTATTCAGAAGCAACTATCTCCCGATTTCAAAGACCTGAAGGACTCTGGCCTGTTGCGCGGCCTAGATGAGGCAGAGCTGCGATCCCTCAACGGCACACGAGTAACGGACGAGATTCTTACACTAGTACCTGAACAGAGCACATTCAAGAATGCTCTGCGAGCCATCAAACTGTGGGCGCAACGGCGCGCTGTCTATGCCAACATCATGGGTTTCCCTGGTGGTGTTGCTTGGGCTATGCTCGTCGCACGCGTTTGCCAGCTTTACCCAAAGGCTACTTTCTCGGTGATTGTTAACAAGTTCTTTTTGGTTATTAGCCAATGGCGCTGGCCGCAACCCGTTCTTCTCAAGCCTATCGAGGGCGGTCCTCTCCCTGTTCGAATCTGGAACCCCAAGGTACGTTTAGTTCCATGCGATTTCAATGCGCAAGATGCTAACCCTGCCTCTACAGCTTTACAAGGGTGATACTTTCCATCTAATGCCGGTCATTACTCCTGCGTATCCTTCCATGTGTGCCACTTTCAACATTACTCGCTCGTCAATGGCGATTATCAACCGAGAACTTAAGCGGGCTCTTCAGATATCTGAGAGTATCATGGTTGGCAAGCGCCCCTGGAGCGATCTTTTTGTCAAGCATACGTTCTTCACCGCAGGTTACAAATACTACATCTCCGTTACCTCAGCTGCGAAGACAAAGGAGGCCCATACGATCTGGTCTGGTTATGTTGAGTCCAAGGTTCGAATGCTAGTGCAGAAACTTGAGCAACATCAGTCCATTGCTCTAGCCCATGCCTTCAATAAGGGCTATGAACGACACCACCGATGTCACAATCAGGAAGAGATCGAGGCTGTGCAGGAAGGGAGTCTCGATTACCTATGTAAGGAAGACACGGAGCAGACTTCTGCTGTCAAGATTGAGCCCGCAGTGGCCGAACTACCAATCAAGACTGAAAACGGGGAGAATGGTCAGCCCATCAAGTCTGAGAACGGTCAGGACGGCAATCAAGTCAAGACCGAGAACGGTGAGAATGGTCAAGTTATTAAACCCGAGTCTACAGAAGAGACTGGTCCTATCACGGCCGTGCCTGTCAAACCTGAGACATCCGATGATTCCAAACCAACAGATACTCCCGCAGCAAACGGCCCATCCGACATCTACACAACTACGCACTATATTGGCCTCGAGTTGGCTTCTGGTATGTATCAAGCTTGACATGTTTTCGCATATCTTCGGTATTTGAGACTTCCCAATACTGACTCAACAGGCGCCAAATCACTTGATCTTTCTTACCAGGTTGATGAGTTCAAGGAACTTTGCACCTCGTGGCAGAAATACAAGGATGATCTGAAAGACGACGTCTCTATCGGTGTTCAACATGTCCGAAAGTGAGTCCAGCAGACGCTTCCAGCCATCAAAGCGCCTTGGCTTGCTGACTTTGATTCGCACAGCTTCAATTTGCCGGATGATGTATTCGACGACGGCGAGAAGAAACCCCAGAAGAAGGCTGCAGTTAAGGGCTCAGCAAACGGCAAGAAACGGGGGCCCCCAGAGGTATTTAAGCATCACCGGACGAATTCCCATTGCCGGCGAAGATGCGCTGTTCCAGATGGCACATCCCTTTCAGCTAGGGTATACTAATCCTCGTATAGGAGAATCCGCCCCCAGCGAAGAGACAGCAAGCCTCGGTCGCCGCCGCAGGTTGAACATGATGGCATATTTCGCATTCCACAAGGAAGTTGGCTCGGAAGGGCTCGACCACAACTCCAATGTGCAATTTGCACAGTATCTCAGAGAATATCAAGAATATCGGCAAGTCCATAAGTGGCTGGACGATTGGCCTGTGGCTGATCACGTAACTAACATAAGATAAACAAAAAAGTTCGCTTTCAACCAGACTGAACTGCATCAACTTCCATGGTAAGTTGGCAGTCGCAGCCTGATGTATTAATGCATTACTGGCGGCGTTATTTCGATTGGAAGATTGAATAATCTACATTAATAACAGCAGGAAGAGAGAGAAGAAGAGAGAGAGGCACGCGTAGTGCGCGGAAGGGCAGCTGGCTAAATCATCATGTTGTGCTTCACGGCAACATATCTCCAAACTAGGAGCTGTCTAGTCACCAGGTCAATAAAGTTGAAGACCTTCAGCAACCTCATATTATATCTGTACCTAGGAAATGGCCTTGCTAGATCAATACAAACTTTTTGGGGCTCGATGAGCCTCAGGAGATTTGCTCCAAACCTCTTCTTGTTTTACTCGGCGTGTTCTTAAGAGGTGAACAGTGCTCAATATTGCTCGACTCTGTTGGGATTTGATGGCTAGCTCTATGAAGTGTTATACATCATCGTCGTCGTCATCACTCCCACTGTACCAGCCTTCTTGGTAGGCATCCGCAAGTTCCGCCAATCCATTGCCAAGATCCTCTCGTTCGTTGACCGGCACAAGTCGAGCAGACTCTGACCGCAAGTTTCTGATCCGCTGTACTAATGAGCTGTTTGTCGAGAGTGTGGTTTGCATGCTGGCGTCAGGATGGCTCTTGAGTCGGGGATAGATCTGAGGGTAGGCGTCCAGCAAGGGGAATCTGAGAGATGAATCATACCTAATCGAGTGTCAGTACATAGCGAGTCATATAGTCTAGATAGTAACATACTTGCGCACAACAGAGTTGCCTATTATGGGGCGTTCACCTGGAGCAAGGTGTCCAGGAGCGTCCTCATCGGGGATCCCAAGGGGGTCCAGATCTCGATGAGATAGAAGTTCACCAAAAACATGCTTATGGGTGTCCAACCTAGCGACATGCTGTCGACTCCAAGTACGCCCTATTTGGAAGAAATCGACATTGATGCGGCTGTCTTCCGATGAGTCTTTTGTAGATGCCAGTGACATGTTGATGCTGGCCAGGGGCTGATTGCCATTGACATTCAAACTCTCAGCCAGGTCGTCTAGAGAACTTGGCTGCTCCGAAGAGCCTTGCACCAGACGTGAAGGCAAGGTGGCTGTTTCGATTGCTGCGGCCATGACAGCAGATGTGTGCCAGGGTGAGCGGCGATCTAATGATACTCCAGCTGACAGGTCCTCTTCGGGCAAAGCCATAGGGACAACTGTCGTCGCTTGCGTGCAGAGCTGTTCAACACTGTGGGCGATGTTTGCAAGGCGTAGTTGACGCTTTGATCTGGGGATGTCGAGCAAGGGGCTCTGAAGACCCCAGGTCCATATGGTTGTCTTTGGGAACTCATCCCTCAACGATTCGAGATATGCGGAAGCATAGCCACCCCAAGCATCGTCAATAGTAGTAAAGACCTGTATTCCCTGCATTCTGTCACACTCTTCTGCAAAGGGCCTGAAGTCTCGATCCACGAGTTCATGCTCCTTGTCAAGCATGGAGAAGAGCTCTGTTCCCATTGAGAAGCGCTCGAAGGGCATGGTGGTCGAGTTGAGCTCAAAATCATAGAGCTGTACCAGTGAACGCGGATGGAAGTAGACTCGTGAGAAGTCGGACCAGTATCTCACATTTGATGTTGTTAGTTGTGCCGGTCCAGTGCCTGTATCGAGGCTCTGCTGGTACTCGCTTGGATTGATGGGTGCCTGTTTGTGAACGACTGATTGACCTGACCTGAGAGGGCGTTAGCATGGTGCTGAAGGACAAGATGGCCTATAGCGGTCCTTACCATAACTCTGCAGGATCTGGTTCGGCTTCAGCTTCATACAATGCATTGATCTTGCGTAAAGAGCCAAAGCCGCCTTTGAGATCGTATATGACTGTTCGTGGGAGAAATGTTTCTGAGCCATCAGCGCCTAGACCCGCCCGCCAGTGAACATTGTGATCTATGGGTGACTTCTCGTCGGCTGAGTATGTAAAGTATGATTCCTATGGTCTGGTCAGTAATCATATTCTGTGTATGTGCTGGGATAGATTGATTACCTGGGCATTCCAGAAGTGAGTGGCCGTATAGTTGCTCAGCTGGCCGAGCTGAAGACTGATGATTTCACGCATTTGGAGACAGCGACCACAGCCTTTTTTGCGCCTTTAGAGATACTATACGACAGTTGATGTATTCAGTAACCAAGTCTGCGTGTAGAGATGTGAAATGTCAAAGTTCACATGAAGTCTTGATCGATGGAGATGTCTGCGACTACTTACCCTACACAAATATAGTGGATATTTGTGGTTTTCAAACATGCATCCATTCATACCCTAAGCAGCTTATCTAATCATCAATTCGTCAATTCAATCAAGTATCAGAAATGAATATCATACTGATTGATTAGCATTTTCAATTATATTAATGTACTATGTCTCGTTCTTCTTTGTATGTCCCAATGTCGGTCATGGGTGGGAGTATGTGTGCGAGCGAGAGTGCATTATGTCATTGGCAAATGTCGCACTTATACCTCCCTTGCTCTAATATCACGAGACATTCAGAGCTTAAAATACCCAAATTATTAACATCTCTCGTATTATATCATAGCAATCACTTTACTGCCACATCATGTCCCAAGGAACTGCTGCTGTTGATGCTAACGCTAATACCGGCTTCTGGAAGGAACTCGACTCATGGAAGACACCTGTAGCTAAAGAGGTCGGTCCTACAGTCGAGGTTGGATCGAAGGCGCCCTGGTCTCAACACCTTCGCCTTCCAGATGGAAAACCTACTCTCGTGGTATTTCTCCGTCATTGCGGATGTCCCTGTATTCTGAACCCCACCATCCCCTTCGTATGATCTGATGCTAACAGTGACTAGTCGCTGAAAAAACATTCAGAGCTCTCGCCGACCTATCCGATAAGTTCCCGGGGGTCCATTGTGTCGCCATATCGCACTCTTCAGAGGAGGCAACGGATAAATGGCTGCCCCTGGTCGGTGGCACCTGGAACGTCGATGTTGTAATTGATCAAGAGCGCGACTTGTATGCCAAATGGGGTCTCGGAATCTCATCAACGTGGCACGCCGTTAACCCTCTCACGCTGTGGAATGTCTTCAGCCTTGGAAAGAATGAGGGCATCTGGAATCGACCAACAGAGAGTGGCTCGCGGTGGCAGACGAGCGGTGCCTTTGCTGTTGATCGCGACGGAACTATTCGTTGGGTTCATGTGGCGAGAACGGCTGATGATATGCCGGATCTCAAGGCTGCCATGACTGCACTTGGACACCCACCTCCTGAGAATAAGCGCCACTCTAAGCATGAGCATGAGTAGAACTCCTGAAGAGGCTGGGGTTATCTTAGGGTGCATATATACGACTCGAAAAGGGGGCTATCAGGTATCCAGACTAAGTAGCGTTCTCACCAGCCTTCACAAGATAGGGACAGTCAAAGTGCAATTAATATATGTGTGATATTGATAGGGTATCTCGTGTCATGATACATTGCTCCAGTATTTGATCCCACCTCTTGTCCTAACCTTTGGGTGAGAGCATGATGGCGAAGCGAAGACGACGGCGCTGGTTCGCTCGTGTTTCAGCAGGCCGGAATACCATGTCTCAACACCTAGAAAGACAAAACCATGCTCAACCGTCCAACTTCTATGTTTCTTCTTCGTGATGCAACAACAGAACACATCCCGTCAGACCAGCCGGTATGCATAATCTTGGAAGCCACCAAACCAACCAGGCCAACACTGCTCACCATTTCTAGAGCAAGCATCCCCTTCTGCTTAAGACCTCCCCCCATCTCCAACAGGCCGAGTGGATCCTGGTGGGTAGGTTGAGGATCTTTCCGTTTCTTGGGCTGTGTCTTTTTCTTGCCGGTCCTGGGGACATGGACTAGACTCGACTGCTTTGCGACAGCATTTGAAATGGCCCTCTCTTCCATCAGATGATACAATCTCTCGGATTGAAGACTCTGGCGCAGGTTATTCGCCCAGTTATAGAGCTCCAGCCGATCCCAGCTCGGGGTTCGCCTGAAGGACCTTAATCTCATGGCCCTCTCCGGAATAGATCGAGAGACCAAAGCTCCACTCGATAAGGCATTTTGAAGCAAGTTATCACCGTGATCACGTCGCCATTTGATACACTTCACAGCTGCAGAGTGCCGTAATCGAGCGCTACCATCCAGAGAAAAGATGTGGTCGACGAGCCGGCCCAAGTCTGTAGGCACAAGCGGCGGGATGTATTCCGAGTCCATCAGAGTACTGGCGTCCATGGTATCGTAGTCCGGTCGAGATTCGGTAGAAATGGCATATACGCACTTGGTCTCCTCTGAGTCCCCAGGTCCCTCAAAAGAGAAATAATCGACATCCTTGTCAGCCAGACTCTTCACAACTTGCTGTTTGATATGCTTGATTTCCTCGGGTGCAAGCTCATCAACTCTAGTAAGAATTGGAATGACGTTAGTCATGCACTGAGCGCGTTTGATGTACTCTACGTCCTCTCGTACAAGGCCTGAAACTTATTAGCAAGCGTAGTGGTCAGACAAAATTGGATGAACGTACCGCTGTGAGGAATAAGGTAGAGCAGAGCGTCCACAACTGGCTCGCCGCCAGAGTTGACCAAAGTGAACAGGTCCGAATCAGCCATGGGCTTATTCATCAGAGATGTCAAGTGAGATTCGACATAATGGAGATCACGCCACGATCCCTAAGTTATTGTTAGAGTGCGATGATATGAGGTGGTGGCTGAGGTACGTACAGAGGCATCTCGTTGGTGGCCTGGGCTTTCAACAAAGCATACATTTCTATCAAGGACATCACCTGTGGTAGAAATCCGCCTCCGTGTTGTCACGGTGAGTTCAGAATCAGATCGCCACCATGGCTGTGGGCGCGAACTGGCGTATGTTTCAGTAGCATGCACGGCACTGCGATTCTCTATCGGATCCATGTGAACGATGTGTTCGCAACGTTCTGCCAGAGTCTTGATGAGTGAAGTTTTCCCAATACCTATTGAAGTCGTCAAAAATGTCACTGGTCGGTATTTTGTTCGTTTACTTACCACATTGTCCAGCGACCATAATCTTTAGCTTGCCCAAAGATTTACCCACTTCCGAGAAAGGACGACGTCGTGGAACCATCAAGCTCGGCATGATCAGCTGAGGAACCGTGCTCTGATTATCTGCCAGGTCCGTTACGGGTAAGGAGACATCATCGTGAATCAAGTCGCTCTGGGCGTCGATGGAGGGACCTGCTAGAGAGCAGCTTTGCGACGAGATGCTCATGACAGAACCAGAATGCGAAAGACCAATCAAAGACGGGGTGCTTGGCTGCGACGGTAAATTCAAGGGCTCTTGTTCAACAACAGATTCAACCGCAGATTCCTCTGAATCGTCTGATTCCGATGCAGGATACGCAGGCTTACGGCTGGTGCGAGGAGGCGAACGTCGTTGACGCGGGGTTGAAGGTCGGCGCGAGTTACGACTACACTTGCGCCGATCGCTTTGCTGGCGGAATCGCGGACGGGAGCGATCTCGGCGAGCGTCAAGGTCGGCCTCTGTGGTGATAAAACAGGCAGCAGGTACGGTCGAAGAAGGGCGTACCAAGCTGTCGGGCCGGTCTGAAGACCGAGTGTTGAGAGGATGATTCGTAGGCAAGACAGGTCTCATTGTTGTATGTGGTTGGAGGGGACCGAGGCAGCGTGCTATGCTATGCTGTGCTTATACGGCGGATACAGGGGGTGCTAAGGTGCAGTACTGATAAGGGGCAAGCTGTCTTTGTTCATGTCACGGCGTCTTGTAGGAGAAGAGAAGGACGTATGTATTTGCATTCGAAGGGCAAGCAGTGGAGGTGACAAGAGTAACACGGGAAACGCGGGATGGATTGTGTAGCTCGATGACGATTGTTTTAGATTCCAAACTCAGTTGGATGATAAGGTAAAGTAAGGAAACCTCAACAAATATCCCGTCGTCTTATTGATTCATGGGGTAAAATGCCATACTCGGTAGGTGGGGGTGCATGGGCCTATTTTACCGGGTGCGCGTGCGCTTAATCTGTGGCACTAACATGACCCGTGACGACCTTGAGGCATGATTGACACCCGCTACAAACATCTTGACAGTTCTCGACTGAGATCAGTCTCATAAATCAACGCTTTAAATACTTAACGAAAATGTGAAGAATATTTCTTGTTCTCTTAGACATCTCATCAACTATTCTGCTCCTAATTAATGCCTTAATTTTCGGTATTTTAATGGCCTACTACTCGGTATCGGATTCAGTAAGTACTAATTCCAGAATCTCTTCCCCTTCTGTCGATCCCTCTAACCCCTCCCTTTACAGGAGACCCTCCAGCCGCCTCCACTGTTTGGGTACCTACAGCCATTCCCTTTCTTTCCCCCTCCGCCCATCTCAAGTCACTACAAGCAAAGGGTGCGACTCCAAAAAATAAAAAAAAGTGAGGCCAACCTGAAGGGCAAACCCAAAATATCAAGAATAGCAGCAAAGAACAGCAAAGAACAGCCACTGCCCAAACATTTTACCTCGCATAATCTTCCCATCTGCAGATTATCGACAATCCTCGTCCAAGTCGAAGTTGGTGACACGCCATTATCAGCCAATACCCACGCATCCTCGTTCGCTTTTCAAACCCTACTCGCATCAGATCTCCAAACTGATATCATACCCATTCAACCACTCTCATCTCAACATGGACGGAAAGCGACACCCCAGCTCGTTCCAGCAACTCGAGAAGCTCGGTGAAGGTACCTACGCCACCGTCTTCAAGGGCCGCAACAGACAGACTGGAGAGCTTGTAGCGCTCAAGGAAATCCACCTCGACTCCGAAGAAGGAACACCGTCGACCGCTATCCGAGAGATTTCGTTGATGAAGGAGCTCAAGCACGAGAATATTGTAGGGCTGCACGATGTTATTCACACCGAGAACAAACTCATGCTCGTCTTCGAGTACATGGACGGCGATCTCAAGAGATACATGGACACACATGGCGATCGCGGCGCCCTCAAGCCTACCACCATCAAGTCCTTCATGTACCAGCTCCTCAAGGGCATCGACTTCTGTCACCAAAACCGTGTTCTTCACCGTGATCTCAAGCCCCAGAACTTGCTCATCAACAGCAAGGGCGTTTTGAAGCTCGGCGATTTCGGTCTTGCCCGCGCCTTTGGTATCCCCGTCAACACCTTCTCCAACGAGGTCGTCACCCTCTGGTACCGCGCCCCCGATGTCCTCCTCGGCAGCCGGACATACAACACCAGCATCGATATCTGGTCCGCGGGCTGCATCATGGCCGAGATGTTTACCGGTCGACCTCTATTCCCCGGAACCACAAACGAAGACCAGATCATCCGCATTTTCCGCATCATGGGAACACCAACAGAGCGTACCTGGCCCGGTATCACACAGTTCCCCGAGTACAAGCCTACATTCCATATGTACGCCACTCAAGATCTTCGAAACATCCTCCCAGCGATTGACCCCAACGGTATTGATCTGTTGCAACGAATGCTACAGCTTCGACCAGAATTGAGAATCAGTGCCCATGATGCCCTTCAGCACGTTTGGTTCAACGATCTTATGATGCACCCTCAGCAGCAGGCTCTCCAAGCGCAGGCTCGCGGATACCCCCAGGCTGTTCCCACTCAAGGTTTCGAGGCGTATTAGAACTTCTTGCCCCAACCCCCCGTGGCGAGAAACCAAGATTTCTAGTTTTGTCTGCGTTATGATCGCAGCGTTTTTGAATCGAGCTGTTTCTGTAACAGCACCTCACTGCAAACCAAAAAAATAAAATACCGGAATATTACGTGACGGCTATTTCCAGCACGATGGAGTTAAGGGTCAGCATGAATTAGACAGGATAGGAGAGATATTGGATCTTGGGATAGCAGCGTGTGTCGGTGTCTTAATTCGTCATTTATTGTTTTATTCCTGTCAACAACTAATGTTGAGTACGAGTACCTTTAGTCTCGCGGGGTTTGAGCCTCCTTGTTTCAAGTCTATAATTCTACACGAGCGAAATGTATGACTTTTATACTTATGGGCGTTCTTTTGGCCCATGTCTGTTGACAAGACTCCCATCAACTGGGCTCTTGAATTTTGTGCGAAGAGGATCTTTTGCCCATGTTTCTGCAAGAGCCGGTGCTTCATCCTTTTCTGCAGGGAACCCTGCGATTTCTCTCAGCTTCTCGACCTCATCTCTCACTCTCCTGGCCACCGATATTCTTAACTCAGTAGCCTCTGGACTATTTCGGAGTAGTTCTGGGTCACCATTCGCAACAAGCTTGCGCCATGCTGCTCGCTGGTGACCGAAAATCTTATCAACATCGGTTGGTTCGCCTATCACTATCTTGACAGTCTTTCCAACACGAGGCGCCCATCTGGGCCATCCTCTGTCCTCGGCCATAATGTGCTGTGTACCATGAACGAACATGGGAATGAACTCTGGAGCCGGATCAGATTCGAGGATCAGTCGAGATACACCCCACTTGAAGTAGCGCAATCCGCTATCCGGACTTTGGTGACAACAGGCCTCTGGAAATACATGAACCCACGCATTTCGATAGGCTGGGTAGGCAGATGGCGCTGGAAATTGATCGACACCGTTGGTAGAGAAAAAGAGTGGTTGAGGAACCGGGGGAGGTCTTGTTGAAGCAGGAGTTGCAGAGAGAGGAGAGTCAGAGGCTGTAGACCATGAAGCTGGTGATGGGCCGGATAGTAGCTTGATAGCTTGTGTCATGGTTGGCTGGTATAGACCACCGTAAGGGGAGTACCATAATCTGTGAGTGGGTAGGACCTGGCCAAGACTGAAGAATGTCGATGTGGCTCTGTTGTTTGCGTTGTTAGCTAATACTCACTCTCATTTGATGATCATCTCAAGACTTACTTATTCTTGAAGCATATATCATGCGCACCAAGACCCCATCTCATGTTGGCCGCGTCAAAGAAGTACCGCATTGGGAGCATGCCCCAAATAAGAGGATCGTCAAGTCTATATGTATGATACATGATTAGCAGACGAACCGTAGTGTTGAAATGAGATGACATACACTGCTACATGATTACACACAGTGAGCAGCCCGCGCTCACGCCCTTCCTTTTTCCTTCGATCAAGAACCCCCAACAGCCCTTCTAGGCCCGTGACCTCGAGAGTATTGAAGCCGTTCATGAATACTCTTGCGAATGCGCCAACTGAACCCATGACAGTCGCCGAGGCAATGCGCCATGGCAGACTTGGCTGCGTAGGAGGATCCGAATCTGACATGGTAACGACAGTCTTGAGAAGATATCAAAGCATCATTATAAAATAGAGACAATATCACAATGGGAGCATTCGTCAAATGGAAAAAGAGAAGTCTAGACAAGTGCTTTATACAAGTCTTGATCGGAGAGAAGCGGCTTATAATAGACCCACCTCCAACTTTTTTCCTGTTTGCTTACCCTGTAGAATTGACATGGGATCTCCAGGCCGGGCAGGACAGGCATGTGCTGGGGTTGCAATGCAACTAATGGAAGTTAACGTCTACCTTGACTTTTGTTTAAACATCTAATTGCTTCAAACTTCTTCTTGTTGTTCGTAGGCGAACATCACTGGGAAAAACTGCTCTTTTTCAATGACATAGAAATCAGATTTACGAGCCTCAAGACACTGCGGTATAAAATCCTCCTCTACCAGTTTCTATCGACGTCAACGGAGCTTTTCCGAGTCAGATATCATCATGGTATCAGCACACAGTACGTTTCTCATGATACCATCACAACCTATTTGTCTTACCAAACTAACCCGACTAATCACACAGGCAAGCGAAACACCTCCCGTCCAGTCTTTACCTCCCACGAACGCGCTCTCGCAAAATCCCACTGGTCATCTTCATCCGCCCGCCTTCACCGCGACTCATTCCTCCCGTTTGGCTCCTGTGGCCTATGCCTCAACATCGCCCGCGATCCCGTCTCATGTCGTCGCGGCGATATATTCTGCCGAGAATGCGCATTGTCGAATATACTCACACAGAAGAAGGATATCAAACGCGCCCAGAAGGCACGCGCCGCTGCTGAGGAAGAGGCTGCTAAGCAAAAGGCGCACGAGGATGAGCTAGATCGCGAGCGCGCCATTCAAGACTTTGAGTTAACGCAGGCTGGCCTCGATCGCAAGAACAAGGCAAACGCAGCTAGGACCGAAGATGAAAAGGAGGATGCGACAAACAGCGATTCAAACTCGCAAGCTTTGGTAGTAGGTACGAAGCGTAAGTTTGAGCTCGACAAAGACGAACTGGATCGCATTGCGCGCGAGGACAAGGTCAAGGCCAGGAAAGCACTGGAAGAGGAAAAGGTAAGAATTTCAATCCTGAAATGTTGTAGCATTCCGTGTTAACTCCCTATCGTACAGGCTGCGAAACCACATCTCCCATCATTCTGGACTCCATCGCTTACGCCAGACGCCCAATCAAGCAAACTCCCACCAGTTGTTAAGAAAGACAAGACCGTACCAACCTGTCCTGCATCTGCATCCGACAGTCCCCACCCTATCACCATGCAAAATCTCATCACAATTAACTTCAACGAAGAGGAAACGTCAAAAGGCAAGCAGAGGACTTGCCCGTCATGCTTGAAGATGCTTACAAACGCCTCCAACCCCATGATGACCAAAGAATGTGGTCATGTTTTGTGCCACAGCTGCGTCAAGCAGTTTATGATCCCATCATCCAAGAAGACATCTTCTGAGGATGTCCCGCCCCTGACCTGCTACGTCTGCGACGTACCTCTGACTTCCAAGTCACACAAGACAGATACTGCTCCTAACTCTTCGATACCTGGCTTGATAGCCCTCCAGTCGGAAGGGACAGGCTTCTCAGCTCACGGAGGAAACACCGTAGAGAGATCAAGCGTCGCTTTTCAATGTTGAAAATCTTGCACTGATAACCATATCTCATCACTTCATCCGCAGCCTTCGCTGTCGCAAGTAGGGCAACAGCATCACGACCCATACACGAACAACAAATCGATGAATAACACCCTTGGTGAGCATTGTCAATCCGTGACTGAAGAAGCTCTTGAGTAGCTCTCCCTGAAGCCCAGCGTAAAGTGCTTTCATACCCTCGTTGGTAATGATGCGAACAATGACACCAAATATGGACTGATTGAGAAGATCAAGCATCCTTCGCAGTATATGCTTGGGCTTCGAATTTCCTTTTTGCGCTTTCTCCATGTCAGCATCAGCAGTGCCCACCGAGCTACCCGCCATTTGAAGGCGCGTCTTGCCCGTCTGGAAAGGATATGTGATGGCAGTGGCAGTAGCTTTGCTCGTGGCGGCAATCAAGAAGGCGATCCATGCCACTGGAAAGTCCTCTTCTTCAAGTGCTGGCAAGATTCGTGCTGCTAGCCGTCGATTGACAAAGAAGGTGATGCTGGGATTCAGAGTGAGCATCAGGGTAGCCGAATAGCCAGACCAGAGACCGAGCAACCCGCTTTCTTTTCGAATCTCAGAGAGAATCTCCACAAGCGACTGATCGCTCCCCAACATCTGCTTCCTCGTGACAACATTCGAAATGGGGGTGGTAAGGGCCCTGGCACACCCTCCAGCGATGGCACCCACAAGAAGCTCTTCGACAATCTTGGGTTTGCGATGCCGGGGGCGTAGATAGTTGTAGAAGCCAAAGAATAGAAAACTGTCCACGACCGACTTGGCCACATCTGTTCCTAGTCCACTGTACAGAGCCTTGATCCCTCCTTCGCTGGCGGGGATGCCTTTGAAGGCTGAAATGACACCATCGTAGTCGCCTGTAGAGCCTCCCGTCTTTCGTTGCGCCTTGAGTCGAGTCGTAATCAGATCTAATGGGTACAGAGATGCAGTTGATATGGCTGTCCCTACAGAGCCAGATACGGCGTGGCTAAGCGCATTGAGAGCCTGTTGAGACGACATTGTAGCAGGATCAAGATACCGAGAATGCTCATCAATGTCGTAGAACGAGGTGATGATATAAAGGCACGCGCACGTGCATGATGCGAAAGAAGAGTCGCGAGCAAGGCAACATGGATGTTGAGCCGCATGTAAGTAGCCCTAGTACAGCAGTAATACTGAGCGACGCGCGCTATCGCATTCACGACGTCATAAGTCAACCTCGGCGCGGCCCCACCAGCCAGTTACCGCATGTGACCCATGTTCCGAGGCATGACGGGCATACCTAGAGACGGGAGGCTCATAACATTATTGATATCTCATACAAAATTCTTCCAGATCTCGCTGTACAATACTCTTCGTCGCAAACAATAAATAGCGTTTGGTATCTCCTCCAAGAATGGTCCGTCATGAACAATCGGCCCTGAGACGCTTCCAGAGAACGTAGGTTTGTTCTGTTTTCAACTCTTGCCTGTTCGTTCTGTAGGATTTCTTTTTATGCCCTGCTTGAAACTGATGGTTGTCTTTGAGGTGTGAATGTGGCTGTCGTCCGCCCAGCATTATTGAAACCCGCAGTAATGTCTATCTCTCCTGGAGCATCTTCGGAAGCGGGTTGCAGCCCAGGATGGCCCTCGGGAAGCTTCTGTGCTCCAAAGCCAGTGACTGAAAATATATTTGTCCTTCCACCATTTGTGGCCATCTGAAGCTGTTCGTGTAGCCTCGCGAGTTGGTATTGCCGTTTTATTGGAGTGAAGGTGGGTTGTGGTATTAGAGGTTGAGGGCGCCATTGTGATAAAGCACTCATGACGGCCGTTGTTTCTTCGTCAGAGTCGACAGGTCCGTTATTTGCTTCGTCTTCATCTTCTATCGGCGCGTTGGCATCAAGTGCTGCCTCTGTTGGAGGAAATCGTTAGTCGTGTCCAGGAAGTACTAGTAAAGGGGTGGACTAGATCAAGACTTACTCTGCTGCTTCGCTTGATTCTTCTTCTGGTACGCGGCAAGAAGCATATCGTATGGCAAGGATCTTCCCGCAACTGCACGCTTCGCCCCCATACTGTGACTTTTACATGTCAGTGATCTTGCGCACGGCTGTCCATTGGGCAACAAGACACCACATTGCCGCTCCACGTCCACGGGTCCTAGTATCAGTTTTAGTGCAAGCCTCTTAAGAAATCCGTGAGAAGTATCTCACCTTTTGGCTTGGGGACTTTGGCTTTCGGCTCATCCTTCTTCTTCTTATTCTTAGGTCCCTTGTCTGGATCGCCATCGGCCTTGCGCTTCTTTCCCTTCTTATCGTCTTCGGGCTTCTTGCCCGCGGCCTTTTTGGCAGTTTTACTTCCAGTCGGTTTCTTTTCAGCTGAGATTCCATCGTCATCACTATCGTCGTCGCCCCGCTCAACCCCATTCTCTTCGTCCTCTTTCCGTTGTTCTTCTTGTCTTGCTGCCTCTTTTGCCCTTTCTCTTGCCTCGCGAGCTTCCTTCTTCCTTTGGGCCTTCTCTTTCTTCAACCGCAGGCACTGCGCAATATGCGCCTTGGCGGCCGTTTTCAAAACGCTCTTTTTACAGTGCTTGCATTGTTGGAGATCGGGGCTATCTTCGAGGGGTCGTCCTGTCGCAAATGTTTCGCGGGATGTTTCGTCGAGTTCGTTTACAACAGGGCCTGGTGATGGCGCGCCTACAGGTGATGCGCCGTTCTTCTTCTTGTCTTGGGAACATTAGTCACTTCGCCAGGCTTGTATAGGATGACCTCAATACATACTGTTACCCTCAATTACACTTCCATCCATCCAGTTTCCAGGTTTGCTGTGTTTTGGCGCTGGTTTCTTCAGCTTGATCTTTCCGTTCTTGTTCTTGGATGCGACTTTGATGGTGCCATCATCACCTGCAAGCTGGGTGTTAGTCTAATGCAGTCGCGCAGTTGTAAAGTCGCGTTACCTTTTCGGGCATCCGTCCCCATGATGATTGAACTTGGCGACTAATATAGTCGCGATTATAATTAAAAAGTGTCCTTCGTATCGATATGAACTCTGCTTTGATGGATCGCGAGTAGTCTGGCTTTGAAAGGGATGGTCGTTGCGATAAGGCTGGGCTGGACTGGGTATGGATGTTATGGTGGAGTTGAAGGTGTGGCTGCCTTAATGATACACGTGCCTGAGCCAGGGTCGGTCCACGCCCACACTATTTCTCCGGGGGTTTAGTCGGATCTCCACTAACATCTGGGGAAGAGCCAGGCTCTGGTAGATGGAAACAGTTGAGCACCAATAATAACCAGTTTCTTAAATTCAAGGTTATGTAAAGTTATATAGACAATTTTAGAGACTGCCGAGAAGATTAAAGGACGGTAGAATAGCCCCAAATCGCTCCTTAGCACTTATATGACACCTCAATTTACAAAGATTTAAAGCACCTGTTCCTAAACTCGTCCTTCTAATGGGCTACTAAGTGTGCTAATAAATGTAAATAGTATAAGATGACTGAGCCATGGGCACTTCCACCTAGCGCTGGTCATATTATAGGCAAAGAATTTATGAACGTAAGTTGTATAATACAAAGGCCTTAGGTGCGAGTAGCAACACCGAGGCTAAGAAGTTATCATGTCTACCGCAAGCATAAGTGGCCATGCACCCAATATTCGTTAACCATAACCTTCCGTGAACCTAAAAGTCCAGATGCAATACTCAAACCAACCAACTCCAGGTGAAGAACCACGCTCGATGTCAGTTTTTCTACCCCAAGCACCCAAAAGAAGAAGCTCAATGCCAATGCAGCCCACAAAGCCAGTAAACACCGAACAAGATGCATTCATACTGTCCCAGGCATCTCACGATTTTGTTCATAACCATATCGATGCCTGGGCGAGTTATCATCACCACACTCTGCTTTCGATCACTTCCTTCTTTATCTTCAACGAGTCACGATATGCCTTCATGGTGTCCATCATGCACTTAGCATGAAGAATGCCCATATCGCTCCAGATGCACTCCATCACTGCCACAACCCAGTGCCAGTATGCTTCTGGGACACCAGGAGCACAGGCAGCGACTTGGAGGTGAAACAGAACAACGGGAAGCCCAGCAGAGCCAGAGCCCGCCCCTCCTGGTCTCTCTACTGGTACAGCAGCCTTTTCGGCGAGGAGCGGGTGTCGCCAATGTGTTGGGGTGCTCACGAGAGTGTCGCGAGCGAGTTTTCTAACGATCTCGTATCGATGTCCATATTCGGCCAGCGAGATCAAGGGCGCGCTAGATTTGGGGTACGCTTTAATGAATTCGATGATAGTCTGATTCAAGAGAGTCCGCGCCCATCGGTAGTGTCCATACATCCGCGCAACGAACATGTCGAAATAGACATGACATGCGCCATCGAATATTGCAGCTGGTGGTAGGTGTTCCGCTTTCTCTTCGCGAAAGCGCCATGTAAGTCCAAGATTCCGTTCCCAGCCAAGGAACGACTCGTCGATATCTAATAATTGCTTCAGGGTGGACACTGTGATAGAGCGGCCGTCAACCAGAGCATGAGTCTTGATATATGTTGAGACCTGAATGAATCGGCCAATTAATGGGCCGAGATCGGTAGCAGGGTGATCGGCTGGGTCAAGGAGGGTTCTTGCAAACGAAATCCATTCGAATAAGGGGTCTGGTAGAGGTGTTGCAGACATGTGAGCAGGTATAAACTGAGCAAACTTGTGAGTAAATCAGAAGGATGTGCTTAAAAAGCATGACATACGAGAGAATAGGACATCTGTACCATGGCACGAACGCCGAGAAAGGCTGCCGCTGGCATAGGTAGCCATCGTCGCAATAAAGCTAGCCCGCCCATAACGTGCGCATGAACGTGCCCTAGTCCTTGGTAAGCTCCTTTGACAAGCTGGAGACAGGCGTTAGCGTACCAAAAGCCAAGATTGGACAGGAGAATGATAGATCGGGGAGATGAGGCTGACCATGGGGGTGTGTTGGCTAGCATTAGGGGTCGGGGCACAAACCTCGAACATGGCAAGCATGACGACGGAGCGCATCGTGACCTCAAAATCCGGCATGCTCGAGGTCTGTACGAGGCGACCAGTCTGACGCAAGGCCAGCCCATATCGTTGACGGGCTATCGTCATCATGCTGGGATCGTCTTTGAGGTTGGAAAGGCTAGCGAGGCCAACCGCGGCCATTACGTCTTGAACAGCAGGGTTCCATAGCCATTCCGTGTGTGACAAATCGCCGGGGGACCTGGGCTCATCTGGGTGGCCTATTAGGTAACGGTTGACATAGAACTGAACGCCCTGCTCCTCGAGACTTGGATCGATTGGCGGCGAAAGCCGTGGTGGTTGTATAACAATAGGCTGTACTGTTGAAGCATTTGAGGACGTATGATATAAAGATGAAGCAGGGGATTGAGGGGTCGGTGATGGTGTTTGCTGGCTCGCAGTTGAAGCAGGAGATGTTGGCCAGCCATCTTTGAAGGATTTGTAAGAGGATGTTATCGAGGCGGGACCAGGGTAGCTGTGTAGAGATGTTAAAGAGGAAGATGCAGAAACGGATGAGGCTTGAGTAGAGGCGTTAGACGAGTAAGACGAAGCCAAAGAGCTGGAGGACGTCTGTGTTGATAGACCCTCAGAGGATTCGCCGACACCCCATTGCGCATGTGCTTTTTGTATCACCTTGCTGCTCTCGTCACGAAACATGAGGGACAGCTGGTCGCGATATCCAGGGCACTTTTTCCCAACTCGAATACATTGTGAGCACTCCGGTTTGATTTTGTCACACTGTTGAGTAGAATTGCCACTTAGTCAAAACCCATGAACTACTCGATGCCATGGAGAATCAAGGACGTGAATAACCCCAACGTATTAACTCACCTTGATACGTCGCACGCGACAGTTCTGGCAGCCCTGAGAGGCTTTCCCACAGTAGACCATGGTCGCTGAGGGTTTTTGAATCACGGCGGTGTCTTGCCGAGAGCTGGACACCGGTGACAATCGGTAGGTCCGGGGCAATGAGATCGATAGCACGGTGACGGAGTTCGTGGAGTAGCGGGTGGGTACCGGATATTCCCTGATTCCAATATATAGTGATGGAGATATCAATTGCGCTCATCCAATCCCACAGGCTATGAAACAAGTAGCGAACCGTTATGAGAAACTCGGGTCAGTTTATCGATTGAAACCCTGACAGTCGTGTGCTGCATCAGAACTTGAAACAATAGGGGCAGTAGATCGGAAGACAAGGCCAGGTAGATGAGCATCGCCGAGTTGAAGAATGGCAGATATGCAGTGGGAAAATGATAGAAGGATTAATAACGTCGAATAGCTGTCTCAAGAAATAAGTCCCATCCCGAGCAGGTAACGCGACGAATCGCGTGTAGATTGACCTTGTACTGCTTGCGCTGGCTGTCTCAGCCACTCATCCAGCCAGAGGCCCAAAGCACAACTTGCTCACTCGCAATTCTGACGCTACGGCTGCCGCCCGTGGCGACGAGACCCAGAATAGAGACCGCTGTCAGATGAGCAAATATGTTGATTCGGTAGGGGACCAGCCAGTGTTCGTGGTGCTGGATCACAACGGTCACAACGGGTAGACAGATGTCAGACACGCCCGTTGTGTTTCCGATATGTAGGGGTGTCCCGCAGCCCAGGGAGCTGGAACTGGAATTGGGACGAGAGGAAAAGGAGGGAAGAGAGAGTATGTTGACGTGAAATTGGCGGGGTGTTAACTTATGGCTAGAGAATAGGTAGATGATTACTTTTGTCGGCACATGTGAGTTCAGCCAGTCCTCTCCCGTGATTGATTGATTGATTGATTGCGACGAGACCGAGTCAAGGCCAGGACCAGGGCCTAGAGCTGTGCTGAACTGGCCTGTCTTGTCTGTCCTGTCTTGGATATTATCGAGTAAGGTTGGTAGGTAGTGCGGAGAAAGGGTTGGCAGACTGTGTACGGTATGGTATGGTTTAGTATAGGTTGAGGATGGGAGGATCTAAGACGAAATAGACATGACGTCTATATAGAGAACGGCCTAATAGTATGCCCCGTCGGACTGTATGGGAAATACTGTCAGAAAGTCGTTGAAAAGATCAAAGATCAAGCAAGGATGAGAGTCTAAGTATGGTAAAGTAGAGGACGGAAACGGAAGCCATCCATGATGGGAGGTAGGTGCTCGGACGGGACAGCCCAAGTAGTGGACCCGAAGTTCTTAGTTAGACTGCCTAGAACTATGTAGACAACTAATAGGCACTGCTAACTGCGGGCAGGCTACAGCTACAGCTACAGCTACAGCTACAGCTACAGCTACAGCTACAGCTACAGCTACAGCTACAGCTACAGCTACAGTGGAAATGCCTGCCGAACCGATCTAAAGCCGCACTCGCCGCATCGTGTCCCACGCATCACACAATCTATGATATTGAGATTTCAATCTGTCAGCATTTTAATTAATGTGTGGACCCGAATCAATGCTACCTCTGACGGTTGTATCGAGGGAATTACCCATCGATCATACCTCATCTCGGCGATCGTCAGCCAGCATTGTTCAACTCCAACACATTCGATGGCAACGTCGCTGAGAAAAGTCCGCAGCGGAAATCAGGAGCTTGGCTTCTGCCAGAGGTCATCACAACGCCCAAGCCCAAGCCCAAGCCCAAGCCCAGAGTAATACCGACATCCTGGATACTGGGAAGGTCCTTGGAGGTCTCGTTGAGGGTATGGGGGCCTCTAGACTATCGCTCAAAGTGGACTGCGTGATGTGGTGCGAAGTGCCACTTTGGATAGTCTAGGCCAACAGGGACCACCTTGCTATTGATCACAACTCATAACTCGAGACGGGAAATTTGGAAGGATGAAGGTTTACAAGGTGATTAGAAAGGTGGAGGTGTGATAAAAGGGGGACAGAGAGACAACCACACGGGATCATTGGAGGGTAAGTTGGAACTAACGTTAGTTAGATGGTCGTTTTCTCGATGGTTTTCTCGATGGTTTCTGATAAGTTAAGGGTTCCAGTATGGAAAACCTTACCCGCACGAACTGAACTGTATGAGAAACAGGGAGGATAACCCAGCAGGCGAAGCTTTTAAACTCTAGTCGCCAATATTAAGGAGGCAGGGGAATGTCGATTGCGGAATGGTCCGTATTGCTGTTACCATGGGAGTGGGTAAGGCTGCAAGATACTTACCAGGAGACCAGATGAATATGGAACGGCAGATGTTATCTGTTGCTTACGATATCAAAACACGGCACGGCAGAGACCACTTGGCGTGTACCTCTTTCAGCAATCATCCCAGTACGGGAGTCACGGAAGTTGGGAGACGACTCGTGCAATACGATGCGCGCATTAACTGTCAATTTCAACCCAACAAGAGAGTTTGGTCTCACAGACACAGACCTTGGACTGACATTAGCTCTTGGACTTCATCGACGTGGCCCGTTGTGAGAGTACAGTACGTACGGCACACGTGCGTGCACTCTCTGGCTTGGCGCAGAGGTTTCAGCTCATGGAGAGCGGTCTGTTAATCCATTGATCCATTTCACAGAAACTTGAAAGAGGACCAAGGCAGGGCATTGAAAGAAACTCAACAGAAGAGGCTTTTATAGTCCATCGACTTACATGTTAAATTGACATTCATCATACCCGGACAAAAGCCGGTTCTCGGCCGAACCGATGCTACAGGGCTGCAGATTTGTCTCGGGCAGTAAGGCTGGTTTGCCCTTTACGCCCGTCGTATCTCAACGAGCTGCCTGATTCGTAATGATGCTAACGACACAACCGAGCGGGCGGGTTTATTAGTTCCATACAGCACCTACATAATACTAAACTCGATGACGCGCGCAGCTAAACTTGGAGCCAATTTGGCGACTCAGGACTGCAGGACCTGCCAAGAATTCAGTCTAGAAGCATGTTGACCGCCCGCCAAAGGCCTTTCTTTTATCGCCCTGCCTTGACTGCGACTTCGGTAGATTGTTCAGGAACGTTGAATGCCAAGTCGGAACCTAAGCAAGTGTCATTAAAGCTCTATAACCATAGAATGATATTGACTTCTTGTTGAACCGTTGAAACATGCTTCTTAATTGTGGCTGCGCATCCGTTTAAACTCTCAAACCCATTCAATCTTTCAGCTCTTAAGGTAGATAGATGACCCTCCAACAAGATCAGGGTAAAGAATGACGTAATTGACACATCCAACTCTATCTCGGCCTTCCCCAGATAGGTTGTCCGGTCCAACACCAAAACACTGACACAAATTCCTTGGCTTCAACATAAGCCACAGATGCTTAATCTCTGTTTGTTGTTTGGTTATCTTCTACTGCAGGTTACTTCTGCTTCAGCCACACCTACCCTTGTACGTCCTCCTGTGGAGGGCAGCGTAACGTCATACCCTCTTCAAGACCAACCTTTTACATCATCCATCCAACCTATCCAAGCCTGGAATATTATGGGAACATGCTGAAACGAGAGGCCGGGGATACGGCTCAAAGCATGCTGCAGTAGTCTAGGCCCTGTCAGGTCCATCGATCGGCCGTGGCGTCATAACTTGAGCCGCCACATACGGATGATAGACTCTTCCGCCTTGACACGGATGGGTACTTTTTGGTCATACCTACAGCAAACAGGTACAATGTTGCACGATTAACTGGTTGGACCCGGCAAGTAACGTAAATCCTTCAGAGTGTACTTTATAAATGGCTTCTATTCATAGTAGTCATGATGTATATCATCCAATCCCTCCACAGCTGACTGAGGTGTTGTGCTATTCTGCCCCTCGCTTGGTTGGGTTAAACAAACAACGACGTCAGACCTGCCAGACCACTTCCCCTCTTTGCTTCTTGCCTGTCGAAAGCTGAAAGGCTTTTTATTTAAACTTGAACTTCCCCGTGACGCCCCTGCCCTTTCATCATCATTCAAGCTCTTTATTATACCTTACCCCATCTCGCTCGCAAGATACCCACCCATTCACGCTTCTACACAACAACCAAGATACAAAACTTATACAACACTCACAACTAAATCACAATGGAGACCATCAGCAACCTCACTGCCGCCGCCTCCAAGGCCGTTTGGGGAGACAGCCAAACTACCAACAAGGAGCCTGTCTCTGGAGTCCAGGGTGACACCAAGCAGGGCGAGCCCTACGATGCCGGCAACCTGGGTACGACCTCAACGCCTATACTACACAAACAATTACATTTGAATGATATCACTGACATTGCGTGGTCTAGAAACTCCCCAGCAAGAAAAGGTGGCACAGAACTTTGGAAGCCACGGTGAGGAACGAGCAACCGGCCTTGGACATGACGCCCCCGTCTCGAAGCCCACCGAGACAACAAACGCCGCTTCAGCCACACCTTCAGTTCCCGCACCCAATCCTCACTCAAAGGACACCTCTGCCGGCCAGAACGACACCCGCGACCCGGCGCAGGCGGACAAGGGCAACAAGGACCTCCACAACGTAGACGACACCTCTGAGGGCACCGATGTCAAGCTCGGCGAGGGCCCTGGACCTCAGCCTATCGAGAAGCTTGCCAAGGAGCATGGTGGTGATGCAGGAAATGCTCCTGTTGAGGGAACTTCCAACAAGCCTACTGAGGTTGGCTCCGAGGGAGCCACAGAGTCATCCAAGTCCGAGAATCAACCTCATGACCCCAAGGAGGACGAGTATATAACTGCTAGCGGTTTTGCTGCCGATGGTGGTGACTTTGATGCTTCCAAGCCTGGTGCTGGACGTGAAGCTGACCGTAAGTCTACAATCGACAAGTGTAATGTTTCGTTGTAACTAACGACTGCCAGGCCTGATGGAGCAAAAGGGCATTCATCTTGGCGAGAGCGGAAGCCCAGATCACTCCAAGACCGAGTCGCACTCCAGCGGCAAGCACCACAGTTCTCCTGATGAGAAGAAGGACAAGCCAAACATCGGCGAGCGCATCAAGGCCAAACTCCACAAGCACTAAATGGGAATGTCCTGATGTTGAAAGAAATATGCAAAGTTAATGATGGAAAATGATATCCCGCACGGTCATTTCGGCGCTTTATTTTCAACTTATGCCCAGCTACTGTTTTGGTCGTATTTTTATACTTGTTACTCTATCTAGTTGGCACCATTATTATGGTCATTCACTCAATACTAGCCGAGGCACGGGCTGTTTTAATGAATTCGGTACCGCCTTGTCGTGATAAATGATTGGATCCTATTCGAGACCTCGTTTCGGTGCTGTCACCAACACGTTGTTATCAGACCAGGCCCCTTGTCAGGTGGTTGCCTGGATGCGGCCCGGAGTAGCGGAATGCTGGGCAAGCTGGGGCAAACTTGTAAAGATACACGAAACTGGGGGTGAGATACGGACGGCTATTGCATGTTCGTTTATTTCTGATCAACGCTCCTTGCATATAGGTAATTAACCTCAAGTTCTGGAGAAATTATCAGATACATACATTAACGTGATACTCCGTACAGATACATCGGTTCGACAATCATTGCCAACTCGCCTGTGCTAGACAGTCCTTTGTATGAACTATATCGATACACAATCATGTTGTTTTTTTTTTTAAAAAAATTGACCATTCGCTCCACTAGATGCTTCCCATCATATCATGCGCCCTGCCTTCGGGTCTTTCAGGTATATTCAATCCTCGTGCGGCCAGCGTACACTCGCAAATGCCATCATCCGTGTCCACCAAGTTTCCCAGTTCCTCTCCCATGTAGGCTTTCTCCATATGGATGCTGGTGCGCCGAATAAATTCATCATCAAATAACCCATTCCTTCACGTAAAGGTTGCTTCTCGGCCCTGCTTGGAGACTTTGTCAAAATGCCTCTCCCAGCATTATGAATGCCCTGCCGAGCATCTCCGTACTTTGAAACCCCCTGTCACCAACTCATCCCACCACACCAACTTTTCCGGGCCGCCTCCCGACCATGCGGTGCTGGCTGTTTCGTGCCGCTTCCTGCCACTATCAATTGTGGGCGGCGTTCATCGCGTGATATCTGTCCCAAGTAATGACCACTCGGGACTATCGTGAGCTCTCAGGATCGGTGGCGGGGTCGTAATACTACCCCTCCTGGTCCGTCCTCGACTTTGTTGTGCATGCCTTGTTGCTTGAAAGAATGCAGGCTGCATCGATCATTCAAACAGTTGCAAGGGTTCAGTGTTTATAGGAACCCAGACTCGGCCAAAACCCTGTGATTAAGAAACATCAAGTAAGCATATGTCTCTTCATCTTAACTGAAGACGGCGAGCCACTAATGGGAAGTGACCTCCATCATTGCGCAAAACTAAACCAGGGGAACTTAGAAGAAAGATGGCACCGCTCCATACGATGCGGGCGTATTCCGCAATGCAACATACCTCACAATCTTCTCATCCTCTCGCTCACGAGGCTCAACTTGTAAACTCTTGTCATACATCTCGTGAACATCCCCAGCGGCCTGCATGTTGTTCAAGATGTAATCTTGCAGCTCAGGCACTGGCTGCAGCGAGTACCCTACGTTTTGATACTGCTGAATATCTCGAATGACCTCAGCAGTTTTGGCACGTTTAGCAAAGTTAATGAGGTTAGTCTTCTTGATAATGGACGGAATGCCATCCTCAATGAATGTCAGATCAGTTAAATAGACACCTTTGCTGTTTGTAAGTACTGTGATCCGTCACCTGCTTCTCGGGAAAGGGGTCCGTACCGAAGAAAGGGATACAGGGGGGGTTGGCTGCATGAAGAGCCTCTCGGTACTCTCCGAAGTTCTTGGTGCTTGCCATCACCCGCCGCATCGATTCTAACGTAGCATGTGTACGTTGAGGTACCTGGTCCCATGTTCGCTTAAGACGAGCGATGGGTGCAGTGCCCAATGCGGAAATAATCGATGTTAGTGTTGAGAAGTTGTTCAGGGAGCGGCAACGCTATCAGTCAGTCAGCAGGGGTTCTAATAACCCGGCATCATAGCTTTAGTTACTCACGTCAGCAACAGAAACGAAGTGCTTGATAACAACCACTCGCTTCTTGACTTCCATCTGCGCCAGAATCATCTCAGCGACCCAGTTGGTCATCTGGTTAGAGTGGAGGATGAGCGCTTTGACGTTGGGGGCCAAATCGGGCTCGCCTTCAGGGACCTTCTTTTGCCACGTCTTGTTCAGACATTCTGTCGCCTTAACCTTGCCGTACAAGCGGGATTCGACAATAGTGAGCTGGCGGGCAAACTCAACCACATCAATGTCCAAGAACTTGAGCTTCTTCATGTTCTTGGGCATGATGGGGGTTGGCGTGTTCTGGTTCACTGTTTGAATCATCCTGCGAGCGCCAGCCTCCTTGCCACTTAACCTCTGATCAAGGACTGCCATCAAGGGCGCTGAACCGGGAGTTTCCGTTGATTTGACCGTGTCTTTAGCGAAACTGTAGACATCACGAACAAGTTGTTTTGACTCGTCGTTGTAATCCTCCATCCAGAAATTGTCGAACCAATTCTTCAGAATGTTAACAACGCGGAAGCGAATAAGCTTTTGCTTTCGGTCCCTCCAAATTTCGAAATCCGTCTGTGACAAACCTTCCGGTGGTTGGATGTTGAATCGTTTGATGAGCATCTCGAAGAGTTCCCGCGCTGTTGTGAATGATCGGTAAGTGAGAAGGAAGGTATTGTTAAAGTTCGAATCGAGCTTGTCGTGACGAGTTAACTGTTCAACAAGGGCAAGCAGGGATCCTCCCTTAACAGTAGGCGGTGAGGTCTTGCTGTCCCAGGAGACTTCGTGCTCATAATCCAGGAGTAAGAACTCCGGTGTATCTTCGGTCACTGGAACTTGAGGCGAAGGATCTTCGCCAAATATCTTCTTGACCTTGGAATAATCGCCTCTGCGCATGTTGCCAGGAGCAGGCTCGCCTTCAGTGAAGGATTGTGATGTGATAAGTGGAGGTCGTACAGCAGCAGTCCTTGATTCTGTTCGCTGGTGTGGTCGGTCATAAGGCATTGTCTCGCCTCGTTGCAGGGTGCTTCGAACAAAAGAATTCTCCCGAGGTCGTACTTCAGCCTGATGTTGTTGCATGTTGATTTGAACCTGTTCAGACAATAGTTGAAGTGAGAATCCGATATGGGAAGAGTTCGTTTCCAGGGCTCTGGCACATTGTCTGACATATTCCAGACGATTTTCCAATGCTTCACCACGGATTTCGGACCATTCATCAGCCAAGGGTCCGGCGACAGCCTGACATCCAAGGATAAGATCGGAGATGTTGTCGTAAAGGCTCTGCTTGTGTGTTCCGAGGTCAGCTAGCTGGGGCGTCTGGAAGCTGTTGCCAAGGGAAGACAGGTCGATTGATTCGATCATGGCAATCCATTGCCTGAATGTGTCAAGTACCCTACCACCAGCAAAGCAAACATTGTTTCCGATAACTTCGTGCCTGTAGGGTGTAACGATTTTCTCTAGGACGACCAGACTCTTGTCGAGCTCTCGGATGCTGGATACCAAAATACGCTTCTGTTCGTCCAGTCGCTCAAGCATCTTGTTGTCGAGAATTGCAGTTGGCTCTACAACGCCCTCTTCATCTTCGAGGAAGTTGGCCGTGATTTCATCTCGAGGGCCCAAGCCGTTGTTTTGCCAACTTCCACCTGTGGTACTACCAATCACAAAGCCTGGGAAGAGTCGAGGAATCTCCTCGCCTCGTTGTTGTCGAGCCACTTCCACATAGCTGTATACACCCATGAGAACTCCGTCGGCTTCCTGGAGGCATTTCTGAATAGATTCGGCATTGGGCCAGTCTGCAGCTGCTATATGAGAAGAGATTACGAGCTTGGAAAACTTGGACATCATGTCTCGGAAGTGGGGATAGAGAGCCTTATTCGTTGAAATAATAGATGGTTGGCCAGAGTGGTTATCGGTAGTCCCTGAGCCAGCGGCAAGGAGCAGTCGTAGATGGTCAGATATATCTTCGGCTTTTGCTACGTATTCTGAGCGGTTATTGTTCATGATGGCTTCCCGATACCGATCAATAGCACGTCGCATATTAGAGACAAGAAGGGTCCAGCTGAGTGAAGGCGTAGAGCCGTCGTCGAAAAACGATCGAGGAACTGTAGCTGTGGTCGGTAGGTTATAGGTAGTGCTAGTAAAAGAGGTCGCGGATGCTATATTGGGGACCTGTCCCGCAGTAAGATGGCCATTCGACGAGGCGCCATTTCGTAGACGACCGACAGGCGATGCGCCATTGATGGAGTCCATGGAAGTTGATGGGGATAAGGCGCCGAAAGAGGCACGTTTAGTATGCTAGTGAGTGTTAGCAATCGGGCAATTAAAACATCACGTTTACGGGCTCCTTCTGTACCTTTGAACGACGTGAGGCCAGTCTAGACGAGTCGCCCTCGGCCTCGGATGCAGACGTCAAATACTCGTCGTCCTCATCTTGAGTCAACCCACGGGCCATCATCTCAGGGGGTGGCCTAGTTTTATCGGGGATATTAACATTCATTCGATCTCGTGGACCAGTCTCGTTAGAAGATACGGGAGACTCCAGGGGCAGTTCCATGCTGCGGTCTCCTGTCATCATATTGTAATAGAACAAGCGCCCATCGGGGGTAGCTTGTGGAATCCAGAAATCGGCCCTCGAACTATCTCCGCCGTCGGTCCCCTCGAGGGGCAACGCGATAGGGCCGTCTTGTTCAGAGTCGTCGTCTTGGTCATATTGGTCGTCGTACATTTCAGGGTCTTCGGCCTCATCCTCGACAGCGTCAAAGGTTCCATTGTGGGCGCCGTCGGGTATATCGTCGGGGCTCGTGATAAGCTGACAGTAGTTGCTAGGAAACCAGCCTCGAACACCATTTATAACGCCATCCCACCAGCCGCTCTCAAGCTGGGTGATGACTTGAATTACATCTCCTTCGTGGAAACTGAGACTAGTGCGATCGTCGGCCTCGTAGTCGTAGAGGGCGCGGACATACATGGCCCCCATTGGGGCGGTACCGACGATGCCGTTCATGAG